TTTACATATAACGAATGATAGTCTATCGCTATAGCCTCTAATGTTAACGTTCCAACCCTAAATTCATGTTTTACGCAATTTGTTTATTTATAAAATCAAATTTCCTTTTTTGGATTGTATTACCGGCACAAATAAGTAAATCCCCGTGCCCCCAACCCTATATGGTACCCGTACGTTAGTAGTTTGCAGATCATCTTTGTTCACGTGATCACGGAAATTGATAAATCTTTCGCTTCGCTCCGGACAATAAATTTAGTTATATACTAGGAAAACAGAGCTGTTGCAAATCCGAAGCGAATTAAAAAAATTGTCCAATCATTAATATGATTTCACATGGACGGACAGACTGGCAAATTTCTAGTGAGCGAAAATATAGGTCCTTCTCTTCGCTCTGGACAAAATTAACCAATCACAAGAAATTTACTCTATAGTACCCTGGCTGTCTTAATTTACTATTGCCTTCTTTTACTCTTTAAGAAATGTAAACGTAATATAATTAACCAAATACTTTTGAAGAGGGTACGACTAACCAAATGTATAAATTAATTAATTTGCTGATCATGGCATATTCATTATTGTAAAAACAAACAAAAAAAGGGCATTTAATTAATTTTATTGGTGACAAACAATGATTACAGCCAATAAAAATGAATATCCGTACTGATAAAGTTTTTTATCCTTTCGTATAATCGAATCTTTCACATACCCAGATATCATTACATTCTTTTTCTATTTTACTCATAGAGTATATACATAAATCACCAAGAGGCTTAACCGTTTCGATTTATTCCTTACCACTACTTTTAGCGTCATTCTCTTCGCAATTACAATAAAAACTGCTACAATGGGTGCATCTGTTTCGAAAGCTTTATTAAGGATCTTTGGTAACAAAGAAATGCGCATACTGATGTTGGGTCTAGACGCTGCAGGCAAAACAAGTATCCTTTACTTTTAAAATATCAAAATATAATCAATAAAGTGTCAAAAGAAGCTTATTAAACTTAGTAGTAAGAAGCAACGTTCATAACTTAATTACTAGTCAAACAATTTCAATTAATACTACGTGGATAGTTGTTATTCTTAACTCTGGAACTCTTGCTAATAGCGATTCTATATAAATTAAAGCTTGATCAATCAGTGACGACAATCCCTACTGTCGGTTTCAACGTGGAAACAGTGACTTACAAAAATGTTAAATTTAATGTTTGGGTGAGCAAATGATTTAGACATGAATTATACTCTGGACACTTTTTACATTAATTTATTTTTTTAGGATGTTGGTGGTCAAGACAAGATTCGACCACTTTGGCGCCATTATTATACAGGAACCCAAGGTCTTATATTTGTAATTGACTCACAAGACCGCGATCGAATAGATGAAGCACGCCAAGAACTACATCGAATTATTTCTGATCGTGAAATGAAGGATTGTTTACTGTTAGTGTTTGCCAATAAACAAGATTTACCAGGCGGTATGTTTTAAAATTAAAATAATATGCATATATCTGTTTCTATATTAGAATTTAATTTTATAAAATAATTTAGCAATGTCACCGGCTGAAGTTACTGAAAAACTACATCTGCATCGTATGCGTGATCGAGCTTGGTATGTTCATCCGTCTTGCGCGACCACTGGTGATGGATTATTTGATGGATTGAACTGGCTAAGCCAAAATACCAAATCAAAATAAAGCAAGACATCTGATGATATTGACATACATATATTTGACTTTACTTTTTACGAAGATTTATATATAATTGTGTAATACTAGCTTAGTTTTTTTTGTTTTCCCTTTTTTCCTACAATGTATTATTAGAGAATTTTGTTGAAGAGTACTATTTTCCTACGCCTCCTAGTGAAATTCCAATATCCTTTTTTTTGGGTAGTTTTAATCTTTTTTTACATTGACTAACATTAAATCCTTTTTTAAACACGCAAACTTATCAAACCTCATTATTATTTGTTTTTATTTTTTGGACAATTTTGAGCACTTTTAGACCAAATTTGGTTTAAAATTAAAGGAATGGGGATTAGATAATAGATATTTGGGTATTTGGAAAAAAGATTCAGTTCGGTTAAAGTAACTGCAGTAAAAATAGAAAAATACATATATGTATTGTTCTATTTTGTTTTAAATCGTCCATTCATTTTTGTTTTGTTTAATTTTTATTACGCTTATTTTTTTAATCCAAAAATTAAAGATTTAATCAATATATATGTAATATTTATTACCTAATGTAATTCTTCAAAATAAATAATTTATTGGAACTGATATATTCGCGCCCTTTTTGCACCCCTTGCAACGTAAATCATTTAATTTTATTGAACTTTGATCGAAGATATCTCAACATTCATCTGATCAAACTCGATAAATTTTTTATTTAAATTCCGCCTATTTCTACGAGTAAAAAGAAGGTTGTCTAATTTGGCCGAATGGGTGTCAAGATATCTTCGATTAAAGAAAATTCGCAGCGCGACCTTTATTTAAATTTTACGAAACTTTAATCAAAGAGATATTGACACTCATATTATCAAATTTGAGAATTTTTATTTATTTGAATTTGGCTAATTTTTATAAGTAAAGTAAAAAGGTTCTTGAATTTGATCAAAATATCTTTAAAGAAAAATTTCAATATAGTTTTATTTGATAAATATTTTATATTTTATAATTTTTATTTAATCAAATCCTTAATAATTTTTTTTATTTTAAATATTATTAAATTGGATGTAGTGACTTAGTGAAGTGAATAAGTTGTCAACCTTCCAAGTATGTTGGGTGTTCAAATCCTATCAACAGTGAAAATTTGAATAATATCTATGTAATACTCATATTATGATAACTGTTTCTAATGATTAGATTAAGATACCTGTAATGGTGATTATAACAATATGATTGGCAGGTCATGAGGCATCTGTGTAATTGGTTACATAAAAGAATACAAACTGGAATCAGATGGTGCAAATTCTAGATAAATCTTTGTAATTATATAAATTTGTTGAAATTAGAAAACAAGAAATTCATTTGAGAAGATTCAAGCAGAAAAATAATACAGATTTTTAATAATATTACTATAAAGATTAGACTAAAGAAACAAATACCAATATTGAAATATCCAGATGGATAAGAACCTTCAGATTGAAAGTTCTAAAAATATCACCAATCAGATTACTGAAATAAACTAAAGAAAAAGAATATCAGACTAATCTGATATACTAATAAATTGATCATAATTTTATATAAGTTATTTAGATTAAGAGTTTGAAAAATAGGCAGAGATATACTAAAGTACTAGGAATATACTATAAAATAGATATTGGAATTTGAGTAAATTCTACAAGAACATAGCAATTAAATAATATAACTCTAATTGCAAATATTAGTTTTGTTATAATAATATCAGATCAGTTATAAAAATGAATACAAAAAACTTTAAAAGATTTATTTTAAAAATAAAATAATTCTAAAATTAAGATGATGATCAGAACAAGATCTAATAATATTTACACAAGTATAGGTTTAGAGAGTTTAAAATAGAACATTCAAGCAAAAATATTAGATATAGCAATTAATAAAGAACCTTTAGGCAAACTTCTTAAATAAGTAATATAAAAAAGTTATATATTTAGTTAATTGTATACTCTTCTTATAGTGATTTATAGAATCATATTATCAAAAAAGTTATTAACAAAAGTCAAAAAACTAAAAAGATTATCTTAATACCAAAAAAAAATATATATATATAAAATATTTATAAATTTTTTTATATAAAATTAAAAAAAAACTAGTCAGTTAGGTTTGTTTAAACATTTTATATTATGAAAACTAAGATATTAAATTTATAATCTTAATTAGAAATATTAATTTTTAGATAGTTTTGTTATTAATTTTTTATTAAAAATTTTTTTAGTATTAAGATAAAATTATATTTTTGGTTTTTATTAGTATATATAGAAGCTCGTTAGTAGAAAAGAAGTAAAAAGTTTTTATCACTTTTTTTTAAATTTTAAATTAAAATACTTCAATAACTACTAAATTAAATTAAATAAAATTTTTTTTATTTAATTTTATAACTGCATATAATTAAAATATAAAAAAAATTATTAAATTTAGTTTAGTAGTTATTAAAATATTTTAATTCAAAGTTTAAAAAACTTTTACTTGAAAACTTTTTACTCCTTTTCTACTGACAAGCTCCCATATAATCTTTATTACAATAATTTTAGTTTCTAATGAAATTTTATTAAAGATATTTAATCTTTATTTATCTCAAATGATTTTTATAACTGATGATAAATATTATTAACTTGAAATATTTGTGTATTATGATGTTATTTATGTAAAGTAATTCATAACGAACATGGATTAAAATATTATTTAGTAGAAAAAGAACTTCTTACTTATAATCCTCACACTATTTTATCATTTTATACAAAATATGAAAATGATACAATATACTTATATTTTATTGATTTGAAGTTTAGATTAGAATTTAATGAATTTTGGAAACAAACAGCAACATTTTTTATAGATTTCATTTATTTCAATTTTATTTATTTCCAACTTTTGAGAAAAGTTATTGTGATCAATGTTTTTTTTTTACTTATTGTATTGATAATAATGATTTGTTTGATTTAGATTATAATTGTCAGATTTTTTGTTCTTATATACAAAGAATAGTTTCTTCTTTATTACTTTATTCAGATCAAGTATATAGGTATCATGCTTATAATACTTGTCTATTATGTCATAAAATATTGTTATTTTTTTTAAAAAAAATATATAAAAGATAGTATTGATAATTTTGGTGACACTTCATTTCAAAAATCATTGAGATTTGGTTTAAATTTTACAGATTTAGTTCGAAAAACATTATATTTTTAGCAATAAATTTATTTAAATAAAATCTATCTAGTTTACAAGACCAGATAGATTTTTTGTGTATAATTCAAAATGTATAATCATTCAGAATTAATAAAACCTCTTGATACAAACAAATTTTACATATATGATGCGATAGATTCAATAACATTCAACCAAAAATATATATTATCATTACTAACAGTCTGTTTAGATAGAACCAAATTTACAATAAATATATCAAGTGATTCAGTTTTTTTTGATATAAAGTTATATTCAAAAGATAATTTAAAAAAATACAATAATGAATTTGAACCAGAAAGTTACAAAAAAATATATAGACAACTATTCAATTCAACAGAAAAATTCATGTTTTTATGATTATATTACAACACTTTAAAAAAAAGAAAGAAAGCATTGAAAAAGATTGAAACTAAAAAAGAAGAAATTCCTCTTGAAGAGATAGAAGAATTTGATTGATATTATGACACATATTTAAACAATCAAACATGCTACTACAGAACAGTTGCATATGAGAATGATTTTAAATTAGTTGAATGGTATGAAATAAATACTTTAAGAATATTCAACTACATGTTAATTACATTTAAAGATATCAAAAAAATTGATTATTTTGAAGAACCAAAGCTCTTATTACTTTATTGGAATGTTGAAACATCATCATCATAAAGTCCAGGTTTTTTCTCTTTAGGTGATAAAGAAGATGATTATGTATACATGATTCAATTTGATATTGTATTTTACAGTGAATCAATCTCTTGCAAGAGATTTTGTTTATCAACTATTCCTATAAACAGCCAAAAATTTTATTCAAAATATAATTCAACAGAATTAATATTCATTAAGCTTCAAACTCAAGAACAGCTCTTATTGAAATTTGCAGAATTAGTTGGAAATTATGAACCAGAATTTGAGATTAGTTACAATACAGACCAATTTGATTGGAACTTTATACTCAAAAAAGCCAGACTGTTGAATATAGATAATAAATTTATTAGACTGTTAACTAAAACTAAAACAACTCTTCAGTTCAATATACAACAAGTAACAGTATGAGTTATTGATCATAATATTGATAAAGATAATTTAAAATATAAATTTGCTAGAATTAATATGAACAATCAAAAGATCAAAATAAGACTATAAAATATGAATTCATATGAATTTCACAAATAGTATTTCTTGATTTTCTGGTCTAAGTCAAGAAAATATTCCAAACAGAGATAACCAACACTCTTGATGCAATATTAAAACATTGTGGCCTTTCTGAAAAAATTGATTTACCATATGTATCTACAAAAAACAGCACAAATCTATGATGTATGTTTGTTTACATAAATGCGATAAAGTTTAAAAATAACAAACAGATGTTAGAAAAATTATCTGATCAGCTATCAAAATTAATAAACATTCCCTTTTCTGATTGTTTGAATATATTTCAAGTTTCAGAATCAATGTTGGAAGAGTATGCAATAGAGCTAGCATATTATTGTTCAGTTGATACATTACAATTACATAAATTGAACTTAAAGCGAAACATAATTGGAGATTATATACAAAGAACCAGAATTGCATGTATGACAATCTTTAATGTTTTCACTAATGGTATTGGATGTTTGATATGAAATTTGTTTAGCAGATATGCATCATGAAGAAAGATTTTAGTTTCATCACAATGTAAAGGAATTGTTAGACAAGGAATGTATAATGGAGGTCTAGTCATTTCTCCAATTAAGAACATTAAAAGACCTGTTGCAGATGTTGATTTTACATCATATTACCCTTATGCTATTATACAAAACAACATATCTCTTGAAAAATGTGTATCAAAAGATTCAACTAATCCTTATTTAAATACTATAATTGATAATAGCATTGTTTATGATAAATTTTTACTACATAACAATAATATAAACAAAATAAGTATCATGGCATTCATATGTAAAAAATTATTAGAAAATCAGAATTAAGCAAAGCAAAAGATGAAATTGTTTAAGAATAATAAAACAAAACTCTTATATTACACTTCATTATTAAATACATTGAAAATATTCGCAAACTCTATTTATGAAGAGATTAATTACAGATATTCACTATTATATCATGAAGAAGTTGCATCATCAGTTACAACATTTTGCTGAACAACATTAAAGATGATGATTAATTTTGTAAAAGAACAAAGATTCATAGTAGTTTATGGAGATACAGATTCTATATTTTATTTATTGCCAGAATCATATTTCATAGAACTTGATACTAAGTACTCTGATGAATTATTATCAAAAAAAGAATACTAGAAAGAACAGATCAAATTAACAATATCACACTCAAAGATACTAGAAACAAGGATCAATGAATATTTGAAACAGATTATAAAATCTGTATATTTGAAGATGGCCTACGAAAAAACTATGCATCTGTTTTTAATTTTTAGGAAAAAACATTATGTCACAATCACTCATTCAGATGTGCCAAATTTAAACAATTTAAATTTATTATTGAAAGATCTTAAAATCATTAAATGTAATATGCCAGAGTTTTACAAACTTGTAGCAAAAGAATTAATATATTTTTCACTTGGATTCAATAAAAATTTCTCAATCAGACAAGAAGAATTAGACCAAAAAGAATTAGTTATACAGATAATTACTAACTATGTAAATAAAAAAGAAATACTATTAGACTTGTTTGTTCTTACAGCAAAGTTTGATCCAATATATGCTTCAGTATTAGCAGTTGATTTTGTAAAATTATTAAACAAAGATTTGTTAAAAAAAGAATGAGATGGAATATTTAAGCAAATTGCAAAATCTGATACAAAAAAAGGAAACAAGATGGTTAATAATTTTGTTGCTAGATTGGAACATCCTATTGAATCAGAACGAATCTTCTACTATGTAAAATTTCTACCAGGTGTTTCAAGTATCTTAGACAGAATGATTTTAATAGACTATTTCAATTCAAAGAAAGATACTATTGATATCATATACTATTTTTACAGCTTACAAGACATTGTAGCTTATCTTTTAGACTGTGAAAAAAAACAAGCTCTCAAAAAAATAAAGGAAATATTCGATGCTAAGGAACTTAAAAAGCAATGAACAATAACAGAATTTTTTGTCAAAGATAACCAACAAAAGATAACTGAGTTTGTCGAAACAATACCTAATACATCCAAATAAAAACCAACTGAAGAATTATATAAACAGAAAAATAATAAAAAACAAAAAACTCAATCAAAACTAGACAAATTTTATTACTCTAATATATCATGTAAACATAAATTACAAGTTAATGAACAATCAGAATCAAGTAAATGAAAACATATATAAAGGTAAAAAAATTCTTTCTCTCTTAATTCTAACAAAATGCAATACCAATTATTTGATAACAACCAGATCAAAATTATGGATTATGTTGAGATAACAAAACTTTATATGAAGATGCAAAGATCTTCTTTACTAATAAACTTTTTAACAAAAAATAAGTTTAATATTGACAAATTCAATGATTTCATATTATTAACAGAAAAACATGACCAATTGAAATCCTCTTCTCAACTTTACAACTTATTAATCAAACCAATAATCGATTTGAAGATGATAATTATAACAGAATCAATTTATTATAATGATTTTACTTTTATAAAAGAACATGTATTTTATTATTAAATTATATAAATATATTATAGATGCAATTAGCACTTTACAAATTCTTCTGTTTAGTACAATGTACTGAACAGAAGTTTATTTATATAATCATGGCTTGAGAAAAACACAAATGTAAAAAAATTAATCAATATTCTATAAAGAATTTTAAAACAGAAGACTATTTATTTATTTACCAAATGATATACTTTATATAATATTTTTATTGTTAATATCTTTAGATATCACAAAATCATCAAAGTTCATATTAGATGATTGAAGATTTGTTGAATTCTGAAAACTGAAATTTGTATGTAAATTATTCTGTCAATTTTACAGATACTATTTCTCTCAATTTGGAACAAAATATTATTTAATACAAAAAAAATACAATCAAGATCATGAATTACCAAAATGTTTCAAATAGAATATACGTTACTGTCCAAAAAACATTTGGATCGATCTTAAAGATAGTGATGTTGATTTGTGCTCTAAATTTTCTCAATCACATAAACTTCATTCACATAATAATCAATTGTATTGTGATCATTTCAAGAAAACTTTGATGTTAATTGAATTGAATAAACTTAAAATATATAAAAAAAGCAAATATCAGAATTGTGAAACTTTTACATATTGTATAGTATATTCTTATAATTTTCCAATACATTATAAATTAGAATGCAAAGATGCTTTATGTAAAAAAATCAGACCTATGTCTGTTAGAAATCATTATTTATCATATTGTATAAAAATTTGCAAAGATTGTAATGAATATTTCAACAATCTTTATAATGAAAATAATGAATTTTTAGAACCAGAAAATTTTACTATATTAGATTATTGAAACAGAATAAGGAATTTAAGAAATTTTGTTTAAAATTATTTAATAAATAATCTGTTCAGTTCTACCAAGCAAAAATTTATTTGATTGATCTTTAGTATAGGTAGGCAAATATGTTTATTATTTAATTATAATATATATAAATTAACTATTTTGAATCAATTTAAGTAAATTTACAAATAGTTAAGGTTAGGGTTAGAGTTATAATATAAATTAGTCTAAATTAGATAGGTTTTATATATTATAATTTTGTAATAATTTATATATGCCCACTTATACTAAAGGAGATCCTTTGTATTTTATTAATAACACTCAACATTTTATTTTATTACTTTATGATATATATCATGAAATATTTTTTTTTTTGACTCCAGCTTCAAAGATCACATTGGATGATAAAAGATTTGGTGAATTTTGAAAACTGAAATTTGTATACAAAACATTTTATGATCATTATTATTACTATTTCAACAAGATTACAACCAGATACTACTTGATATAAAAATACAATTCATTATATAGTCCTCCTGCTTTATACAAATGAAATGTACGATACTGTCCCAAAAACATTTGGATTGATATTGACAAAGATGGTTCTCGATTTTCTCATAAGTTAAAAGTAGAAAAACAACTATATGTTGAGACAAATTATTTGAAAAATTTTAAGAGAACATTAATATTTGTAAATGCTGAAACATTTTGTAAATATAGAAAAAGCAGATGCCAAAACTGTAAATCTTACACATATTACAAGACACAAGGATTTACTTTTTTTGAAAACACAGAATCAGATTATAAAAAAGTCTTAAAAAAGTTAATTCAACCTTCTGATAATAATTCTTATTTAAGATATAGTATAAATGTTTGTGAATATTATGATTCATATTTGACAGCACTTTACAGAGGTCAAAGCTATGATGCTCTTCTAAATAGTGATCAGGTTTTTTCTTCTTCTTCATATTATAATATATTAACAAATTGGTTATACTCTTAATTTTTTTTTATTCAAATAAATCATCTACTTAGTCTTAACTGAATAGATTTTTATTTATATAATCATGGTTTATATTAACTTATTTTCTAATGAAATATTGATAATGATATTTCATTCATGTTTCAATTTAGAAAAAATTACACTTATGAATGTATTAATTTCAAACACAATCAAAACAACATGTTAACTTTGGCATAAGCTTTATATAATATTATTCAATTTATATAGAACAAAATATATTTTGATAGAACCATTCAACAACTATTCGATAAAACCTTACATATATGTTCCTTTCACAATTACTTCACATTTAACAAAGATATTTTCAAGAAAGAGCAACTTAAACATAAAATTACTGTAAATTATCTGAAAAAGAAAACATGACTTAATCTATTATATTTTAAAAATTCTAAAAATTATTACTCTCTTGTGACTAAAGAGAAATTTGAAAGTCTAAAATTTATATATGATTTATATAAATTAAACATTTTCTGTTTCTTGTATAAATTAGAAATTAAATTTAACAGATGTTTAGTAAAAAAATGTAACCAATTACAGTTTATGACTTGGCACTCACATACAGTTTGTTACATGTGCCAAAGCAAGTTTTCAAAATTGTTGCATCCTGAACTTATTGATTTTGATTATCATTTTTAATAATATTACATAAAGATAAAAATATATAAACTCTCATTATTTTCTTTCTTTCAATAAAAAATAACTTTCGAATTAAGCATCGAAGTTGGTTCAAACTTATTATTTTGTTTGATTGAATTAGCAAAACCTTTCACATTTTTATTATTTATTATTTGTATAACTTTATTTTTCTTTCATGTTTTTGATTGGTCTAAACAATCTAATTAGTCTTATATAACTGATTAGATTTTTCTTCTTATAACTTTAATTAATTTTATTAATCAAGATAAGAAAGCTCCACACTGTATTTTGTTCAGGAATTTACTTTTTTACTTAATACTAACTCTTACTTTGCCCTATATATTTTTTATCTTGTTTGTCAATCAACTAACCGATCGATTGATGCAGAATAAGTTTCAATTTTAAATTTAATTTAAAAATAATAGATAAATAATCAATTTGATAAAATTGAAAATTTTAAATATGCTATTGATTGATTAAAAGTCTCAAATTCTGTCAAACCAAGACTTAAACTGAATGAATATCGTACTGTTCTAATTGATTACAAATTATATTATCAAATCAAAATACAGAAACCAGATGTTATATTCTTTATTGATATTAAAATTTTTATCTTTTATAAAATTATACTTGACATTGTCATAAAGGAAAAAATAATAATACATTTTATATTGAAACAAAATTTAAAGAGAAAACTTTTTTGCTTCATCATTTGATTCACTCTGAATTCAAAATAATTGATTACTTAATCACAATAGATGTGATAATCGTGAATCTAATCTATGTGAGACAACACCAAGAGAAAATGCTTTAAATTGTAAATTACGAAATAATAATACATCAAGATATAATAGAATTATTTTTGATAAATCTAGAAATTGTTTACCTCGAGGATAAAAATAGTCTAAGGATTATAGTCCTATGGTCGAATGCGAATAGATCCGGGTCTGTGATCTG